GGGGGGGGGGGGGGGCGGTGCTTGCGTTGGGCTGCGGTGTAAGCTGAAAATGGCTTCCTCAATTTCAATATGTAAACTCTCCACATTACCCGTTCCCTGTATCACCCTATGACACTGCATGCATGCAGACGATGCCCCTGAGAACGAGACAAAGTCGGCTGCAGAGGTGCCCAGCAGTAGCTTCGAACACGACGTATGCTAAGAAGCTAGAGCTGGTATTGAAAGCCAGGGGGCTAGCTAAGTACGTATGCGTTCTCTTGCTAGAGTCTGGCTGTATGGTTTTCTAGTTACAGTGAGCGGGAGTTGTTTGTGATTATACTAATAGTAATAAACTCGAATTTCAGTTTCAGCTCTGCGTATTGCCTGTCATCGCCACTATGCCTATACAGCAACAGAACCTATCGGCAAAGAGGAAACCTCTGAGCTGCATTTGGAGTGATGAAGCGAACGGCAGTTCAAACCATTGACACCCTACAGGACAGCAGCGGGCCAACCAACGTTGTCTACTTGTATTATGAATACATAAATGTTATTCATATGACGTTTGTTATATATATATATATATATATATATATATATACGCGCTCGTATATGTGCATAAGCGCATATATGATGGCGTATGTATTCTTACATATGTATAGATATGTATTCATAATATGCAAATTTCAAACATGAATCTACTGAGCGAAGGCACAGTGAGCCGGGAGTCCACTCCCCGGAACCCGCCCTAGCCCACAAAATAGCTGCAGGGATATGACGGGGTGAGCTATTCTGCGGCTATGAGGAGGAATGTATAGATATACAACTATGTGTGTACAGGGCAGTGTAGAGTGCATGACTGCTGCTGAGTTTCTTTCGTATTTCGGCGGATATTTCGCTGAAATATCTTCAGTATATCAGGGCGAGTTGATGCGTCGTGCCTTGGGAGCCCTGTTGGCTTCATGTGCCAATTGGTTCATCACCCACTTCATCCTTCCCTGCGTTGCTATGAGTGCAGTGCACAACTCGTGCGCCCCATAGCTCTTTGGTGGGTCACCCATAAGAGGAGCTGCGAGGGCTGAACCGAAGTCTGCCTCGGGCACCAAGTCGGCCATGATGGTCATCACTGCAGTGTATGAGAGGAAATGTGTCAACACAGGATTCAAGAAAACTGAATCCACGTTGCTCAAGCTGGCGAGGGCCCCAAAGGTCCGCTTCAAAAAGTTCCCCGCGTGCAGATCCGTGCGGGTCCAGAGTCGCCCAAAGAAGTTCGGCTCCGTTGGATTCTTAGAGGCAACGACAACGTGTTCAAGGTCTTCTAGCATAATCTGCATGCAGAGCAACATGGTGATAATGCACATAAGCTTCTTTTTATGCCATCCTCATTGGGCTTAGTGCGGCATCGCCGAGAAGATATTAAGTAATAGTCAAATGCAGTGCAACGTGCTTTCTCGTGCGTTGCCTCATAAACACCTAGTGCTGAAATGAATGCTAAAAGACGGGAAGGGGGATGTGTTTTTGAGTCTGCTGTTTTCGGGGCTCATGTTGATGGGTTGTTTTAACACTTAAGTTACGGTGAGCAGCTAAATTTAGGACCGCTTCCTGAAGCAGACGATAGAATTAACGCGTGTCAACTGACCCTGTAATGGAAGGGTTTCCTCCATTGCAACCCGTGGCCGAGCGCTGGCTCGCCGTTAAGTGTGGTGACTGGATCCATACTGGTGGCGATGTCGTGGATTAGCACGCCGGTGTTCATGAACTCTTTGTACGCGGCCTCGCTTCCCCACTGTTCATAACAACCAACTCCAAACGCACAACAAGGAGATGATACGATTCACGAAGTGCAATGCTACTGCGTTACAACGTATACATTGCTCTGAACAGGCACAGGAATACCGCAAAGTATAAAGCTCAACTGCCTCTGCTGGCTCACCGCCGGGGTACCGAAGGTCACACAACGAATTTGAAGCAGCCCTGCATCTAGCAACGAGCGAGCCTGGTTGGCGTAGTACCAGGCTGCTATTTGGGCCACGGCTCCACCGAGAGAATGACCGGTGAACAGTACCACTTGTCTCTTCTGTGTGGCTTCTGCTTTCGCTGCAACTTCCTTCAGGTCATCATTGAGCATTTCCTTGAAAATGCGTTTAAATGCAAACAGAAAACCCGAATGAACTTTGGCATCTGCGGAAGGCGACAGCTCTGGGTCTACAGTCGTTTCCCACATGGTATTGAGGAGCCACATCTGCAAGG